TGTATATATAATATATTACACCCTATTTAGTCATGTAAGTATATACTTGATTTCTGCCAAGCACTGTAACTTATGAGGTTGTAAGTAACCATTGAAAAGAACTTAGCATCTGTTTAATAAAATGTCTTTTAATAATGTTAGATATCTCTGTCCAGGATTCTGTGCAACTAAAATTGAATCTCACAACTCGGGTGTGTTATCTGACAGGCAAGGGTATGATCAGGTATAACCATCCTAACCATCCTATGAGCAGGTGCTGTCTTGTCCATTACTGTTTCCCCAGTACCTGGAATTGTGCTTGGGTATGTCGCAGGTCCTCAGTAATGCAATGAATAAAGACAGTTACTGTGAAGAACAGAGGATTATATGCTGGCTGCGCTTTATACCTTGAGCGGACTTTTGGAGGAGGTTAGATCTTTTGGATATGAAGATGAAGACAGACTTCACGTCCTCAGTGTGTTTTATTTATTCAACAGGTATTTGTTGAGTCGCAGCACTGTGAGGAGTTAGGAGTGTAGGAGTGGTCATGGTTCCCACCTTCAGGCTGCTTATAATTTGTGAGAGATGGGCAGGCAGGGAGCTGGAGCTGGAAATGAGGATGGAAGACTTGCAACCACTTTGTGTGTTGTTTGCCTGGAAGACTGTATGTATGGACATATGTGTGTGTGTACACATGTAATATTACACGTGTATGGACATATATACTATTATGTGTTCATGGGTGTTTTGCCTGCATGTATATCTGTATCACGTGCATGCCTGCTGCCCTCAGAGGCTAGAGGAGGCCTGTCAGATCCCTTGAAACTGGAGTTACAGATGGTTGTGAGCTGCCATGTGGGTGCTAGGAGTCAAACTGGAATTCTCTGGAAGAGCAGCTGGTGCTCTTAACCATTCAGCCATTTCTCCAGCCCTGTTTTTTTTTTTTATTTTTTTTATTTTTTAATGGCCAGTTTTTAAAAAATGGGTCTCAAAATCACAGAGATCCATCTGCCTCTGTCTTCTGAGCTGTGACTGAAGGCATGGGCCACCATGCCCTCCTTAATAGAATTTGAGTTGGCCCCAAATGTTGTAGGAAGATGGACAAGAGATAATGAGGTCACAATTTGTAAATTGCTCTGACAGCCTTGTGTACGTGGCTGGAGAGTTTAGTTGAAAGACAGCGTGGTCCCATGGTATGGTGGAGAGCCTTAGAGGAGGAAGGGTACATCCGGGCTTGAACGTGTGCCCTTGGCCACGTGACTCACCTCCTGTGGGCCACAAGCTATTGATCTGCAAGGGAGAGGGAGTTGTCCAAGGTGCCCAGCTCTTTGAACACTCAGGGCATCCCTGCTGTTTTTGTTCTTTATGTTAAACTTCTCTGAGAGGTTTTGTTTGACAATTTGCTTGGTTTTAAAAAAAGTTCAAAATCTATCTGTGGACAGTGTGACGGAAGCATCTCCCAAATGCTTCCATTATTGTCACTCCTGACATTCCATGTGTCTTCATTTAACGTGCTACCAAAGCCACAGCAAGAACGGCTTGTCTGATCAAAATACCGTTTGCCTTCTGAGATGAAGGTCACACTGAGGGTCTCTGCTGATTTGAATTTGTAACCCAGGAGTTTCAGTTCTTTAGAAAGGACTTCTTTCTGTAGCATGAATCTTAAAGAGTCTTATTAATAAAAACAAACCCCGGGGCCAGGTTTTTGGGGTGAATGCTGAAAGATCAGAGAGACAGGACAAGCCACGACCACCTCACCTCATCAGTTCCTCAGCTGATCTTGTTTCCTCAGGCTGGAAGCCTCTCAGTCCTCATCCAAATGGATCTCAGCTGAACTGCTTCTCAAAGGCCTGAAAGCCTAACCAGCTCTAGTTCCTGATCCTCATGCCTTATATACCTTTCTGCTTTCTACCATCACTTCCTGGGATTAAAGGTGTGAGTCACCATGCCTGGCTGTTTTCAGTGTGGCTTTAAACTCACAGAGATCCGGATGGATCTCTGCCTCCCAAGTGATAGGATTAAAGGCATGTGTGCCACCATTTTCTGGCCTCTATATCTAGTAGCTGTTCTGTCCTCTGACCCCAGATAAGTTTATTAGGGTGCACAATATTTTGGGGAACACAGTATCACCACATCTTTCTCAGTGGCTGCGTGTGGCGGACCCTCATTCCCAGGAAGCCTGACCTGCAGGCGTTCTCTGAAGGCCTTTGGAGAGTCCCGTCTTTGTCTTGTGTTTCTTTACCTGCCATCACCGTTTAGAGTGTTGGTGGTGTGAAGAGCCACTGGGATGCGCTGAGAACATCTCTCCCTGCATACTGTTTGTCCCATCTTTCCCCACTTGTCCTTTGTATGTGATGGAATCTGATTGCTGTGGAAATATTCTGATCTCAGTGAGCAACAAGGACTATTTTCCCTTAGCTCCTGCCAGGAATGAGGCCCAAGGGAAAAGAACCAGCCTTAGAAGGAGCACGGAGACAGAGAGAGAGAGAGAGAGAGAGAGAGAGAAAGCGCGCATGAGCAGTTGGTTGGTGTTGACTAGATCGGACCTTATGCATGACTCACTCCCTTCAGGCCTGGTTCTCTGTCTGTAAAGTACTGCGGTGGTACTTCCCCAGAACTGACTTAGGAGATGTGGAAGATGGAAAGGCGGCCCCCTTGTCCTGGTGTTGGCCTACAGTGCACACTTTGTTAGTTTCTCCTCCTCCCTTTTCTCCTGTGCTTTTTAATGTTCCTTTTCTCCTTTGGAATCTTCCCTTGCTCATTCCTCTCCTTCCTGCACGTATTTGTCAATCACCTGCTGTATGCCAAGCATTGCCCTCGCTGCTGGAAATATGGCAGTAGGTAAGGCAGAGCACCCGTATTCAGGGAGCTGGCATGCTGTCTGTTTCTTTTCATTAACATGCAGTTACCATGAGGGACTAGATTCCAGAATATGTAAAGAACTTGTGGAACTCAATAATAAGAGGACCCTATTTAAAAATGGGTAAAGTATTTGAATAGCTATTTCTTCAGAGATGGTCCAATGAATGGCCAATATGTAAGCAAAAAGATGTTGATGTTATTGTCATAAGGGAAATGGAAACATAGCCACAATGAAATAATATTCCACCTGCTAGGATGATAATTGGAGAAACAACCACAAGTGTTGATTAGATGCTTAGAAATGGAATCCTCCTGTGCTGTTAATGGGAATTGGATGATGCAGCTATTTGGTAAAATACACAGTCTGGCAGTTCCTTGGAATGCCAACATGGTTTATGATCTGACCTAGCAATTGTCTAAATGTCCACCCAGGAGAAATGAAAGCATTCATGGAGAACTTGTACATGTAAGTTCTTAGAAGCCTTGTTGTAATAGGCACAGAAGAGAAATAACCCAAGTGTCTGCTGGCTGATGAGTAGACACGACAAGTGAGGTACATCACCAAATGCCATATATTTGGCAGTGAAAAAGAATGATGTAATGATACGTGGCTGTAGCTTGAGTGAACCTTGCAAACCAGAAAGTGGAAAAAACCAGTTACAGAAAACCACATAGTGTATGAACTTATTTATATGAAATAAATTTATATGTACCAAACAGGCAGATCCGTTGAGACAGAAAGTAGATAAGTGATTCCGTAAGGCAGAGGAGGTAGGCAAGGGGCATGGGTGAGGAGCAGTGGAGGAGCAGGGCACAACGCAGACCTCTGAGGACTCTTCCATGTGCCATCCCAAGCTTTTCCCCCTTCCTTTCACAGGTAAGACTTAGAAAGTTAGAAAGGACTCTGTAGAGCTGTACATTAAGAAATGTAGAAACAGTCATTGTTAAGACGTTAGAGCGACAGAGGGAAGGCTAGGCTGGAGAAGGCGTTTGTCACCAAGGATGGCCAGAGTTCCATCTCCCGATAATGCAATACAAATTATTTAAAAGAGAGTGGGAGCTGGAGAGATGGCTGAGCTGTTAAGAGCACTGGTTGCTCTTCCAGAGGACCCAGGTTCAATGCCCAGCACCCACGTGGCAACTCACAGTTGTCTGTAACTCCAGCTCCAGAGTATTGGACACCCTCACACAGACATGCACGCAGGCAAGACACCAATGCACATAAAATAAAAATAAATAAAGCATAAAAAAAAGAAGTTAGGAATTATAGATAAGCCAAAGATTTTAAACATTTAATCACACTACTCAGAAGTAATAATAATTAATGTTTATAAATTTTAGTATTAAAGTTCATTTTATGTTTTTTTGTTTGGTGGTTTTCTTGAGACAGGGCTTCTCTGTAGCTCTGGCTGTCCTGAAACTCACTCTGTAGAACATGCTGGTCTCGAACTCTTAGAGATGCCTCGTTCTCCTGAGTGCTGGGATTAAAGGCGTGTGCTATCACACCTGGCCCTTATATTTTTGTTTCCAAAGGATACTGTTGTAAGACAAAGTTTGCTCTTGACTACACTAGTGTAGAACATGGAGTGTTTCCTGAGTGGTACACTTTCTTGCTGTATCTGTTTGGATACAGGATCTTGCCATGTTGCAGAGCTGGACTACACACTGTGTATGTAGCTCAGGCTGGACTTGATCTCATGGTCATTGTCTCTGCCTCTCATGTGCTGGGGTTACAGGCATGTGCTGCCATGGATGACTGACTTTCTAACTTTCAGGAGTTTCCAAATGGAATTTGAGGGCTGGTGAGATGGGGCAGCAGGTGAAGGCGCTTGCTGCCAAGCCTGACAACCTGAGTGTGAGTCCTGGGACCCACATGGTAGAAAGAGAGAGAGCACTGATTTCCCAAGACCAGTTGCATTGACATGATCAGACACATTAGACAGTGGATAGAATGCATGAAATGTTGTTAACCTTCAGGCCACATTGGGTATGTGACTTTTGTTCAAGCCACAGCCTAATATTACAAGAGGGTTTCAATCTTAAATATTTTACAATGTGTTAAAGCACCGTGCCCTGTGAAAAATTTTATGGATTCCACTCGGTTTCTGTGGACTGCACAAGATATTGGCCGATAATACGGATGCCAGCTGATAGGCTGGGTGGGTTCCTGGTCTAGAAGGTCTGTGGCACTAATGGCATCCATCTTTTCTCTCTCTCTCTCTTGCATGTGCAGAATTAGACTGGCTGAGCAACCCAAGCTTTTGTGTTGGAAATCTAACGTCTCTGAGCCAACAAACCGAAGAGGTCACAGCCCTTGCTTCTGAAGGGTCACCACTGACAAGGTACTTGATTGACAGGTGGATTTAGCCTTGTGTACTGTTCATAGCCTCAGTGATGCTCCCTAGAGAACCCTGAGATGAAAGAAATGAATGGAGTTCGTCCTTTTGCTCGGTGACCAGGTCATCTGTGACCACCTTCCCTCCCCTAACTCCTGTGGATCCTGCTCCCTCCTTGTTTAGCAGGGGCAAAAGTACATGACACAGTTAGTACCTGTAATTAGGCCACGAGGGAAACTGCATCGTTGTAACTCTCCAGTAACTTCATTGACCTCATTAGTGACCTTAGAATATTGTTAATTTGGATATTTCTTTAGTTTCATTTTCAACACTTAGATAAAAATAGCTGATATAAGATAACAGAGGCTAAAATCTCCTAAGCTCATTGGGGAGCTGGATGACATACATCTTCCCTGACTGTGAAGGAAGGTTTTGTAGACCATTTGACAGAGAAATGTACATTCACAAATATAGACTAGATGGCCTCATTAGCATGGTGAAAACCTCATACTCCACATGCACGGGAAGCCTCTGGAAATGATAGATGATAACCGGGGGGAGTTTGTAATTGGTACAGTTCTGAGGAAGAAAAACTGTTGTCACCTTTACAAAGAAGACCGTGACCACAGTTAAACCTTTTTTCCTCTAGAATGTCCACTGGGATAACAGCAGTCCTCTAGTGGTGTCGCCAACAGTTTGCTAGAGGGACTGGTAGGCTACTTTTTCCATTACAGCTGTGTACACAGGTTTTCAGTGTTAGGATAGTGTCCTTGCCTGTCTTGTTCAATCCTGACGTCTCTAAGGTGAGTTCATCCAGGAAGGTGTCGTGTAGTGTACGGGCTAGGAGTGAGCGTTCATGCTTCTCTGCACATTATTCATCTATGTGTGATTTCCCCTACTTGTCTTGAAAATAATCCCAAAGTTGACTTTTCCAACAGGAGTCCTCTGAAGTCAGAGCTCTCAGATGAGAGTGACCCTAGCAAGACACTCACACAGATAAGCCGAAAAAAGAAGAAAGAGAAAAAGAAAAAAAGGAAACATCAGCACCGCAAGAAAGCTAAGAGGAGACATGAGCAATCGAGCAGCGGTGGGTCTGAGTCGGACACAGATTCTGGGAAGGACAGATCTTCCAGAAGCCTCAAGGACACTCAGAAGGAGTCTGAGAAACCCAGGTGGGGCGCTGCTTTCAGATGCAGGGGCGTTTTAATTGCCAAGGTTCTTTCTTGATTGTTGCCATAGTTAGACATTTAAATGACTCTTTAATCAGTTGATCAAAAGAAAGGCCTGCTGTGGAGCAGAGACCAGCCTTCAACTCCTGAATCTCTCAAGTGGTAGGATTATTGGCATGTGCCACCACACCTGTCTTGATTCTGGGACATGGCATATGTGCCATGAATTGGAGTGCGGGTCCGTGCACTGTGGAGTGGCAGGTTCCACTTTTAGAGAGGAGCAGAGTGTTGTCAATCCTGGATCACGCGTGTGCTGCTTTCTCTTTGGTTAAAGTCCCACAGCATTTGAATACCGACTTGCCCGTTTCCTTTCTTCACATTTCTGTGGAAGCTCCGTGTTGATGGCCATGGTATTTCCTTCCATAGGGCCGTTACTGATCTCCATACCCCACTCTGCTATCTACCTTAAAGCCTTACCTGGAACAGTGTAGGTGCTCACCGTAGCTGTTCCTCTGCTTAGGTGAATGTCCTGCTCCGTGGAAATGGATATTAGACGGTGCAGGTGGTAGGTGGTGAAGATGCCTGGTTTAGGTACTTGTCTGTTGTTGTGATAAAATACCCTGAGCAAAACAACTTAAGGAGGACCAGTCTATTCTGGCTCATTGTTGAGAGTGTAGCCCATGGTGGCGGTGCATGTGTGTGTGTGTGTGTGTGTGTGTGTGTGTGTGTGTGTGTGTGTGTGTGTTAGGGCAGCAGGAGCTGAGGCAGTGGCTCAGGTTGCATCAGAAGGGAGAGGGAGATGCCTGCTGCTGCTCAGCTCCCTGCTCCCTTTCCTTCGGTCCAGGGCTCAGGCCATGAGTTTCCAGGCGAGTCTTCCCACCTCAGTGAACCTGGTCGAGAAAATGCCTCACAGGTATTCCTAGAGGCCACCCAGATCATCTACATGATTCCGTACAGTTGTGTCAGGAGGCTTGTCTCTTAGGTGGTTCTAGAGCTTGTCCATTTGAGAGTCAGAGTTAACCATCACACTTTCTGAATTACTACTCATTGAGCTTTGTGTGTGTGTGTGTGTGTGTGTGTGTGTGTGTGTGTGTGTGTGTGTGTGTGTTTAGAAGATAGAAGATACAATTTTTTTTCTCAAATTGTTTTTTTTCCTCAAATGGCACATGTTAAGAATGCATTAATTACTGTGTTTTTATACAGTAAACACTAAGATATTAGTGAGTTGTGAATGGATTTCCATGATGTCAGGAAAGTGGGTTCATGGAGGGTAGCACACCATGTGGGAATCTACTTCAGGGGATCAAGGGACAAATTCCCCAGAGGTGACAGCCACTAATTGTTCCTTCCTTTGTGGATGCATTTGCTCATTCTGACAGGCTTACCTCCTTTCGTTGCCCCTTGGGATTTGGTGGAGAAACCACAGCTGTCCTGCAGGCAGTTGTGATTTCCTTCACTGTGGGTTTTAACCCAAGACTTGCCATTCAGCAGTTATTTAGTGAGTAGCTGTTCTCTGTCCCTAAAATACCATTCCCTTTATTCCCTGCCAAGAAGGATCTGGAAGTCTCCAGAATCTTTAGCTGTATCTGGGCAAAACAAAACCTGTAGCCTTATGAACTCGTTTCTTCTAGAGGCCAGAAAACCTCCCCTTCTGCTCTTCACTCCTAGGAGTGGTCGCATTCATTTGTGTCTGGGCTGAACATCTGCCACAGATTGGTTACAAGAGACAAGTCAGAGTCTTGTCTTACTGGGAGCTCTCACCATTCTGCCCTTCTTGTAGGAGTTCCAGATGTAGATAGAGCCCAGATGAAGAATCTGAGACCATGCCAGAGTGATACTGGAGACGCAGCAAGTCAGAGTCATGGCTGTCTTAGTTAGGGTGACCACGGCAACTCTTACAAAGGAAACATTTGATTGGGCTGGTTTACAGTTTCAGAGGTTTAGTCCATTATCATCATGGCGGGACATGGGCCGTGAGGCAGACACAGTGCTGGAGAAGGAGCTGAGGGTTTTACATCTTGATCTACAGGCAACAGGAAGTGAATGGAGACACTGGATGTGTCTTGAGCATAGATGAGCCCTCAAAGCCTGTCTCCACAGTGACATACTTCCTCCCACAAGGCCACACCTCTTAAAAGTGCCACTCCCTATGGGCCAAGCATTTAAACAGTTTGTGGAGGCCATTCCTATTCAAACCACCACATGGCATTTCTTTCTTTTTTTTTTTTTTTTTTTTCAAGACAGGGTTTCTCTGTGTAGCTTTGCGCCTTTCCTGGAACTTGCTTTGTAGACCAGGCTGGCCTTGAACTCACAGAGATCCGCCTGGCTCTGCCGCCCGAGTGCTGGGATTTAAGGTGTGCGCCACCGCCCGGCAGCATTTCTTCTTTTAAAGTACTCACTTGTAATAAAATGTTGGAAGACTGTTAAAGTAAGTCAGGTGAGGTGAGGGCAGTGCACTTTAAAGCCTCGTCGCCTTTGGCCCTGGGGCTGTGCCCTTTGCCTGGTTCTCTGGAGTGTCTTAGGTAGGAATAGTTTCCCTAAACAGCCTTGTTTAGGAAGTACCTCTGCAGTTGTGGTGATGGAGGTTTGAATGAGAATGGCCTCCACAGGCTCCTAGTTACACACTTGGTCCCCAGCTGGTGACATTGTTTGGGAAGGATTAGAAGGTGTGGCTGTGTTGGAGGACCTGTGTCACTGGGGGTGGACTTTGAGTTTCAGAAGCCCACACCATGCTCACAGTTAGTTCTCTCTCTCTGTCTCATGGTTGTTGTCTCACAGTGTGAAGTCTCAGCTACTGCCCCCATGCCATGCTCCCTGCCGTGATGGTCCTGGACTCTTCCCTACTGAAATTGTAATCCCCAATAAACTCTTTCTCCTATAAGTTGCCCTTATAGGTCATGGTGTCTCTTCACAACAGTAGAAAAGTAACTAAGACAATAGTTACAGACATTTAAATATTTGCATATGTTTGCTTGTTTATTTCCCAGAGCTTCCTGCATAGGACCACTAAGCTGGATCTCTTTCTTTTTTTGTATTTTTTGTTTTAGGACAGCATCTTATTAAGTTGCCCAGGCAGGTCTGGAGCTTATGATCCTCTTGCCTCAACCTTCTGAGTAGCTAGGACTGTATAGGCCTGTGCTGCCAGGTCTGGCTGAAATGAAATATTTCAAAGGAATGCCTGAATCCTTCAGGGTACTTACTGAGATGGCTTCTCTTCTTGGTGAAATGTCATTTCATGGTTGCTGGTTTTGCTTCATTTTCCAACCCTTCCCCATAGTGAAAGCCCTCTTCTCTTCATGGCCTGTGTGGTTATCTGTACCTGGGTGCCTTTGATGTCATGAGGGTTTGACAGGGTTAGCTTGCATATTTCTGAGGATGCCAAGTGTTTTAAAGTTTTAAAGTTCCTTTCCCATTGTCTGATAGTCAAGGAAGTAATGCTGCTGCTGCTGCTGCTGCTGCTGCTGCTGCTGCTGCTGCTGCTGGACACCACTCCATTTGGCTGGAAGACATTCAGACTCTGACAGAAGTCTTCAGGACAGATAAGAAACCAGATCCTGCCAACTGGGAGTATAAATCTCTCTACCGAGGGGATATAGCAAGGTAACCATTGTTGTAGCCCTGGTTTGGTTTCTCTCTCTCTCTCTCTCTCTCTCTCTCTCTCTCTCTCTCTCTCTCTCTCTCTCTGTCTCTCTCTTTTCTATTAGAAGTAATGTCTTTCTCCTTTGGCTCTCTCAGCACTGTCTGTCTTTCTCTCATGGATTCTGTTGCATTTTGCCTGTTGTTGAGTTGTAAAGGCACAGGTCTCTTCTATATTCTAAAATGAACGCTTTAGCTGGAAGGTCAGTTTGGGGTGACCTTATCCCTGGCACATAGCATAGTGCCTGGCCGAGTGGGTGTTCAGTAAAATGTTTGTTCAGGAATGAATCTAAAAATACCTTATAATAAATAATTATCTTTGGTAGGGTATCCAGGAACTATTTGGTCTGAGCTGTGTGCCATTTGAAAAGGTGGCAAGAGCATTTTTATTTATTCAGCCCCACACATATGCCACTTAGCAAATGACATTTGATGGTAATGCCTTTGTCACATTATTTCTAGCAGACACCAGCAGAGAGTCATAAAGTAGGGGGTGGCATTTGCTGCAGGAATGAATTAGAACTCTTTCTTGTAATCTGTCAAACGTATTGAAAAATGTGCAGGGTGGTGCATCCCTCTAATCCCAGCTGCTTGTGAGGCTGAGGTGTGATTGTCACTCTGAGAGACACCTGGGCGACTTGGGGAGACTTCTGCCTCAGACAGCAACTCTGAAGCAAGGTTTGAGTGTTTCCTGACTCCCTGGAGACAGTTAGGACCTTGTAGGACTTGGGACATAAAGGGCAGAGGTGGGCGGGACCCCAGCTCCCAGTTCCCAGGTCTTGAAGATTTAAG